AATGCCAAACAGCGGATCAGTAGTGATATCGCACCTGAAGCTGAGCGGGTGTGGGATCCGTGACATTAAGTTTCTTGAGAGCGACGGGTCCGTGCCAATGACCCTGGTATACCGTCCCAAAAGAGCCGGACCCGATTCGCGGTCCCGTAAGTATCTCTTTGAGTGGTATCTCCCAGTCTTCGATCGATTCGCGTCCGCCAGAGTTGGGTCTAATCTTTTTGGAGGACTCGTCGGCCGATCGGGCCCTCGGACGCGGACGCGAGTGCTGACGAATACCAGTCGGCGAACCGCCGGCCGATTGAGTGGTTGTGGGCGACGGAGACGGAGATAAGGAGTCCTGATATCCCGATGTGGAACTGGTAGCTCTCGTACCAGAGGAATGGGGCGGATGTAAGCTACTAAACGCACCTTTACGTCAAACAATTCATATAAAATTCATTAATATTTATGTATTTTAAACGCCACGTAAACTACATATAAGTCTAATCACTTTCAGCAACAAAAATATGGCACATGTTTTAGTCACCAAAAGACGAGTCAATAAAAAGCACATCAATACTAACTGTAATCATAAGATATTTAAATATAAGAAGTTAGACACCGATTGTATGGATTGGTTCGTCGAGAATTCAATGGAGAGATACAGTAAATGCGGGCAAAACTATTGACGAGGCTTTCCGTCAAACCAATAAATTGTATTCAAAATTACAATTAAGAAATATAATGACGAAAAAAGTGATTCAGTTATAGATAATGTGTCAAAGCATGCAATTAATGAGTCGATCACAGGATCGATATGTAAATCATTGCAATTTGAGTGCCAAAACATACCGTCCCATCAATTAATGATAATAATAATTAAAAAATCAAAGTAAGCAATGAAATAATTATTTTTAAAAATAAAAACCTAAAAACTGATGACCCGAATGGGTGAATCAAATGGAGACATACCGCCAGTGAGTGTACGGATCTCTTCGATGGTAAGGTCGTTATGAGAGACTAGATTGAAGCAGACGTTGGGCGCCGAAGTGGACCTCTCTCTCTGGTCTAAGGGCGTCAAGCGATGAGTTTGCGATGGCTGTGAGGGTTGAGATGAGACCTGCGGTTGCGACG